AAATGAAAAATAAATGCCTCAAAAACCTTCTATATAGTCGCACTTCAAATCAGATGAGAGTCCAAATTGTATCACATGTCAAAACACTGTTAGAAGACATCTTTTTGCCTTTCTTATTTTAAATTTTACCGCATAAACTCTTTTTCTCCTCACTTAATACAATTTTAACCATCAAACCCAGTCAAACCAATCAAACTGGATGGCTCCCCAAATTAAACCAGCCTGGTGAACCGATAGCCAGTTCATCACCAGAATTTAAAACAAATACTTAAATCCAAACTTTTGAAAAAACATCTAACTCCTACATCGACCAAGCGAGCTCCTATCTTAATCTTGAATGATCCTGAACAAATGACATTTTGGCAACCTTCAAATTAGTACGCAAGATCAAACTCACACCAGGTTGACCTACACCTCGGGTTGTAGTAAAAGGCCAATTGTCTCTTAATGCTAACCTCTATGTTGACCTCGACCATAGAAGATCGGATCTATCATGACCTCTTTTAATTTGGCTGACTTATGCAAAATGAACTAACAACATGCCCAGTAGTCTGATATTCAGACTAGATGGTGGGAAGGACAGAATGTCGGGGGTATTTAGTGATCCAAAAGGTATAATGGTATTTTTCTTCATTAGGGGCCCATGGCAAACAATCAGTGATATTTCAGACATTTGTGCCATATTGACATGTCAGATTAATCTGACACACTTAGTGTCATATCAACTCGACTACGTCATTATTGTCCTTCATTGATCCTCTACCTCTCATCTATAAATATAAGCATCCAAGCATTATCATTCTAGATATCATCTTATCTTAACCTTTTATCTATCTCTCCTTCTAACTTCCTTCATCCTAATTTCTGACTTACACATTGGAATACAAATGCAGGAAACACTTTCAACCTTTGCATCTAACTGTTTTCTTCTTTTTTTTTTTTATTCTTTGAAAAATACCCTCACGTCGAAGCTCGATATAAACAAAAACAATGATGGGATCGATGTTAAATCCACATTCTAGGTAGTAGTAGTAATAGTCGATTAAACAGGTTTAATTTCTTTTATTGCAATAGCCAAACTATCAAACCTTAGAAATTTAATATTTGATTTAGGGAGGAAATTATGTAACCTAGTTAGTCGAATGACAGTGAAAAAAGGAGATCATAAATGGAGCAACAACAAGAGAAATTCACGACCGAATAATCAAACTTACAAGTAGCATATGTATGTCGATAGCAATTGAGAATTTGAGACAAGTAAACCATGAAGATCACGTTTGTTTCAGCATATCCATGCACACACACACACACACACACAGAAAGAGAGAAGTCAAAGACCAAAGTACTTCACCTGTAAAATTCAGCTGCCCAGAAACAACCACGCCCTTCATGTTTAATTTGAACGTGTGTCAATTATGAAAAGCAGGTTTCCTTGGAATTGATTTTTCTTAAAGAACAATTACGATCTTTTTTTTTATTTTTAAGAAAACAATTACCATCTTTATTTTATAACTTAATTATACATTTAGTCAATTTAGAAATTTATGCATGCTTCTAAGGCACACGGCAACCTTTGCTTATTATTTATGTGAGAAAGGTTTAGATAAAAAAATTTTAAATAAAATTCATAAAAATTTTTATTAAGAATATTTAAATTAAAATTAGAATTAAAAATCCAAATTCATAGATTAATAAATTTTATTATATAGATTAAGTGTACAAATTTAAATAAAATTTAATATATTTTTAGATAAGATTTTTATTAAAAATTTTGATAATATTTGAATTATAAATAATTTTTTTAACAATTTTTTTTACATATTATTAATTTTATCATTAAATTCAATTAAATATCATTTAATTTTTTTATTAAAATTTTTACTCAAACATTTTTTGCAAACTTCATTTAAAAAATTTCATGTAAATCTTATTCTATTAGTGTATAATTCACATATTTTAAGACATCCCAATAAATACAATTAAAGATTTTAAGAAGAATAAATACAATTAAAGATAGTGTGTCATTTTATGCATTTCAATCTCTTACATTATTTTTCGCTTTATACTTTTGGCAAACCCAAATAAACTATCGATCAGCGGCAAAAGAATCTAAGATGCTAATCAATGGCCGGTCCATCGAGTTTCCGATCGAGCTGTTATTGCAGAAGCAAAATAGAAAAGGAAAAAGAAAAGGAAAAAACTAAGAAATGATAATCAAAGAGCTTCGCAATATTCTAAATTGCAGCCATGACATGATTTTTCTAATCTCTAAGAATGGTATAGAAGAAGCCTTGCTGCCAAAAGATTTTTGCTTGTGCATTATTGTTGTCTCTGTCTATTGCACTTTCTGTGTTGATATTCTATGTTTGTTCTTTGTGGCAGTTTATATGGTGGAACTTCTCCTAGAATTTTTGGCTTTAATGAAAGGGAGAAGATCGAATTCTTATTCTCGTTCTTTTTTTCTTTTCCTTGTTTTTCTTTCCTTTGTTTTCAAAAAATATTTTCAGATTTGACTTCTGGATTTTCAACATTGATTGTGAAGATTTTTCATTTAGGCGACTCAATTTTCACAATTTGTTTCTCAAAACAATTTTTAATAACGTTTCCTTTTCTTTTCTTTTTTTTTTTTTTTTTTTCTGTTTTTTCATTTTTATTTTTATTAAAAATAGAAAAAAATGAAAAAAAAAACTTGGGCCATATTTATTTTGGTTGAAGGCCAATTAACAATAAAGCCAATCATGAATTTGGACACAAGGACAAATCGTAAATCAACAATAAAGCCCAATTAACATATAAATAAAACGAATTTTGCAGTCTAAAATCAATCGCGAAATCAATATCTAATTCGGAATAGAGTCAAAGCCGATCAAAATATTAAGGCATAAAATTTAAAAAACGAATCAAGTAATGAAATTTGAATTTTAAATTTTAAACAAATAAGAGTTTTATTAAGTCTAATTGACAATTTCATTTGAAATATACACAGATACTATTAAGTGTCTAAATACATTTTTTAAATGCAATAAAAATAATTTTTAGAGAAGAATATGAACAGACAAAATACTTAAGTATTTACTTCAATGATACCACTGTTCCGTATAGGCTTCTTAATCTGATGAGTAGGTTGGATTTGGATTGGGTCTAGGTTGGATCAATTAAATTTTGGTCATTTTGAATTTTTAAAAAAATAAATTAACTATGGATTTTCAGATTATTTTAAGTTTGGATATTTTGAGTTTGGAATAATTTAGGTTTGGATAATTTCAGCTTTGGTATTTTGGATTTGACATTCGGGTTATTTGAGTTCGTTCATTTAGGTTCGAGTCATTTCGGATTCAATTTTTTAATTTTTAGAATAAAATTAGATTAAATTTAAATAAATTATCTGATCAAGTTTGAGTCAAATTTTATTATAATTTTATTAAAAAAATAAAAAAATAATATTTTAAAAATAAATATAAATATTGTAATTTGATGTTTAAATTAAAGTTAACTTTTATATAAATGAAAAAAATATATGATTTTATTAAATTTGACAAATTTAAGCACGAAATGATTATATAACACCAAAATAATACAGAAAAAATCACTTGGGTTTTAAAAAAATATTTTTTGTATTTAGACGTATCAATACAAATTTTGATATGTGTAAGACAGAGAAAACACATTTAATTAAATCGTACTATATGAGTACATGTATTAGACACGAAAAATATATTTGTCATGTTTAACACGTTTAATAGTTTTTTATATTTATTTCAATGTAATATAAATTTATAAAAAATATTTTAAACTTTTAATTATAATACAAAATTACATATTTAATATAATCATATAAAAATTATTTTAAATATTTATTTATGATACACATTTAATATGCAATTATTTTTTATATTAATAGTATAACTATAATATAAACAATCATTTTAGTATAATTATAACTTATTATTTAATAGCTTATTATTTTAGATTTTAGTATAATTGCATGATTATATAATTTATTTTAAATTACATGATTAAAAATTAATAATATAATTATAACATATATACACAAACTAATAGTTTGTTTTATATACTTTATTCTAAATCATATGATAAATTATATCTATGTATAATTATAAGAGATTATATAATTTATTCTAAATGATACATTAGCAAATAATGATAATTAAAAATATATAGCTAATAAAACTTTGGCTCAGTGGCAATGAGAAGACCCTAAAATTTAAAAATCTTAAGTTCAAGTTTTATTGTATGCAGATTTGGTTATTTAGTTATATTTTAATTTGTTAGTTGATTATTTAATAATTATAACTTAATTACGATGCAATAGTTAATAATTCAATTTATTATATAGATAGTAATACTTAATTATTATTATAACTTCAAATATATATAAAATTTATTTTAAATCATATTATAAATTATAAGAAATTTTATAAGTAATATAATATACATAATTTATATTTGATATTAAAAAATATTAAGTTGATATTTTTAATAATTTTAATAAGTTAACATTTGTGTTATATTTATTATTTTTATTAAATTAATGAATTTAAATAAAATTATACTTAATTTAGTTTCGAATTATTTTAGATTAATTTTTTTGTTCATATCAATTTCAAATGCATTTGGACCATCTTGGTATCAAATAATTTCGGATTTGGTTTGATTTTAGTTCCGATTTTTTTTAGTTTTGAGTTGAGCGAATTTGAGTTGTACACTTTTTATGATTAAATCAAATTAGGTCTAAGTTTTGGTTTGGATGAATTAAGTGAGTTTTTAAAATTTAGGCTAAAATGATCAGTTCAATTTTTCTTATTATTACGAAAGAAATTACAAATATACAAATAATTATTTCAAAAAAAAAAAAGAAATATGTAAATAATATTAATATAATAAATAAATAATAATAATAATATAAATAAATATTAAATTACAATAATATATCTTATAATTAATATTATAATATAAATTCTATATGACTAAAATGCCGATTCATTTCTCAACACAAACATTACATTACGCAGAGGTAAATGTTAACCCACTATACCCAATTATTTAACTTGAACAAATATCGCATAATACCGGACATCCTAAAAATGTAATAAAAATCATATAGCCAAAGGAAATCCTATTCCAACTTCCAAACCCACTAATTAAAAGCAACATAAAAACAAAAGACATAGCAATTTGCAGCACCATGACAAAGTTATTTAGGACAAATTAATTAAACTATAGCAAACTTAGCCAAGAAGTACTGATTCTGCTTCTTATAAATATTAACATTTGAACCCTGGAGGAAGCTCTTTCTGGCATGCACTAAGGAGTAAGCTAAGAGTAACGGGAACGTTGAGGTTGATTCCAAGTACGTTGGCTTTAATGGCAGTGCAAAGGCAAAGGGCAGCCTCCAAATCAGCCAAGCCTGCGAGCAAAGCACAGCATTTGCTTGAGGGAGGTGTTCCCACCACTATGTTTACAAGTCCAAGGAGGTCAGCACAGACACCTAGCTTCAATGTGTCCTTTGGGCAAGAAGCAGGCTTTGCCGGTGGAGGGCATGCAGCTGGAGGAGGAGTTGGTTTTGGCTTTGGTTTGCATGAATTGCAAGAGCTGGTGAATGTTGAGTGGAAAACAAGAGAGAAAAGTATAAGGTGGGCACAGATTTTCTTGGAAGCCATTGCAGCAGCTGCTTGCTAGTAAGTGGAGATATTCAAGGAGTTGGTGCCTGACTCTAGAACCAGAAGTAGCATTTTTAAAGGAAATTGTGAGGTGGCTGTTGAGAATTTGAGTGAGTGGAAGAGAGTGAAAATTCATGATAATGTAGTAATTGGATTTTTGTAAGCTTCTGGGAAGGAAAGTTGTATGTATGATTTTTTTTTCTTTATTAAGCAGTACCTCCTAACTGTGTTGAAGGAGGTTCACTACTTCACTGAAAAAGAAAAATATGCTGGGTAAAATTAATTAGCCATGGGCCCTCTAAACTCCACCTTAAGCACGCTCATAGATCAAGAATTTTGGATAAGAAAGAGGGTATAAATTTTACACTTTTCTTTCTCACTTTTGTTTGATTTTCTTTATACCAAATGGCTCTAAAATAATAACATAAGAGATATCCGTTATTTTTAAGTATTTATACTCGAATTGTGTTTAATTTTTATAATATTTGAATTTGTTAAGCTACCAATTAAATTTACTATCACTATCTTAACCTATATTTAAATAAATACTATTCATTAAATATTAGAATTCATTAAAATATTTTATTACTTAAGTTTTTTGTTAAAATATAAAATAAATAATAATTTAATTTAAAATTTAATTTCACTCTTAATTAATAACAAATAAAGATTGTTACTAAGGTTTTGAATCTTTCTATAAGTATAAAATTTTACATATTTTATATATGTGATTTAAATGGATAATAAATTAGGATATTTGATATTATACATTAAAACTTAAATAGTTTTGAATATCGGATATCCAAAGGATGCTATTTGTGTCGAGATCCAACGTGAAGGTATTTATGAAATGATAGAAAACTAGAAGAAAGTGATTAGATGCAAAGGCAAAGAGTATTTTTTATGTTTGCACCCCAACACCAAATTAGAGATCAAGATGAAAGAGGTCAGAAGGAGAGAAAAGTAAGGGATCAAGACAAGATGGAATCTGCAATGATAATGCCTAAATGTCTATATTTATAAATGAGAGGTAAAGAGTCAATAAGGGACAATAAAGATGTGACTGAGCTTACGTGGCATTGAATGTGTTAGGTCAGGTCAACACAAATATCTGAAATACCCCTGGCTAACAAGAGCCCCTAATAAAGAAAGAGATCATTATACCCTCTAAACCACTAAATATCACCAACATTCCATCCCTCTATCAAGCAGTCTAAGTATCAAACTATTGGATGTGCAGTTAGTTCATTTCGTTCAAGTCAGCCAGCCTAAAAGAGACCACGTGGAATCCGATCTCCAATAGTCGAGGTCGACATGGAGATCAGCATCAATTAATAATTCACCTTCTACTATGACCTAAGGTGCTATGGCATAGGCCGAATTGGTGTGAGTTCAATCTTGCGCGTGTACTTTGGATTGAATGCATGGCTGATTTGAAAGTTAAATGTCATTCATTTGGGATGATCCGATATTAGGATGGGAGTTCATCTAGTCAATGTGGGACTTAAACATTTTTTTTAGAAGTTGGAATTTAAATCCTTATTTTGAATTTTGGTGATGAATAGACCGTTAGTTCACTAGGTTGGTTCAGTTTGAGGATCTATTTGGTTTAGCTATTAAGGTCGCATTAAATAAGGAGATAGATAGTTTAGGTGACAAAATTCAGAGCAGTGAAGGTAAAAAAACATCTTTCAATGGTGCTCTGGCATATGACACACTCCGAGTCATCCATCTGATCTGAGGGGCGGCTATATAAAGGGTTGTTGGGGTTTTTATTTTTCACCTTTCTGCTTTCTTGCTCTCCATCTGATCTAAATTTTTTACCTTAAAAGTTTTTCTTCTTTTTGGTGTTACTATTCTCTTAATTTCATCCATTCTCTCTGTTTTGCTCTGTATGTTCTCTCTTCATCATATCTTCTAGTTTTAGTTCTAGGGAGGCTGGGAGGTTCAGGGTAGAGATTAGAGGGTTAACTCGAGCAAGATGACAATGACTTAGTCCCACTAATCATCGAAGGTTAAAACTATTACAAGAGTGTTTATTGGCTCAACCTCATGTCTAAAAAAAGATAACGATAAAAAGATGAGAATGCTTGAGAAAAATGAAAGCGAATCCTAAGCAAAGAAGAGATATGTGCTTAAATAGATTTTGATTTAAAGAATCTACCTCTTTTTTCTATCTTAGGTTGGCTCATCTTTTACGGTTGACCTTCTCTCATATTCGGTTGTTCCCCTTTTTAAGGTTTAGTCTTACCAACTTTTTTTCTTTCCTACCTATAAATGCTCATTTCGTCTCTTCTGTTCCTCTTCGGTTAACTATTGTTGAATCACTTTTTCTTTCAAAGAGTCTCCTCCTCCCTTTCTTCCTCGAGGTTATGGTGCTCTCAGCCACTACTTCATTTTGGAATCTTACTCCTACTTAAGAATATGAATCTTTATGAAGTGAAGACTGACAACAATGAAGGTTCTAAGGAGGAGAAAGAGGAAGACAATACCCCTACTAGGAAAAATAATGGCAAAAAAGAAAGTCTCTCAGAGCAGGATGAGTTGTCCAAGGTTTTTGTATATACTCCCTGCGACCTCGATACGATCCCTAAAAACGTGATGAGAAAACTAAAAGGGAAGGTCAAGCCCGAGGATTTCCCTAATATATGTTCAGTTTATCATGTTCGTGCTTTGGTAATGAACTTTCGCTTTCCAATAGAGGGTTCTAACATATTAATGTCGAACTCTTCAGATCGGATCATTGATAAACTAGAGCTTCATCAGCTCTAGGTATATTAGGATTCATTCGTGGTTGGTTTACAGTTCCCACTTCATTAATGAGAAGTTTATAATGTTTTATTTCAAGTTTTAGTTTAGTTGAAATTTTTAAAGTTCGAGCTCGGATAGTTATTTACAAGATGACCTCATAACTTAAGTTCTATAAAATTAACTCAAATAATGTAGAATAACTCAACTAATAGTTGATTTAGTCAAAATAATCTAAAGTTTCAGCTCAGTTCGAGTAAGCTTAAAATTCACTTAAGTCTTAGGTTAGTTTAGGCCTAAGTCTACTGATTAAGACAAATGTTATTGTGTTCTGAACTTAAGTTTTAGGTCAGGCATATCAGGTAAAAACATTATTTTTTGACTGGGCAATAAACATGATCATCATAACTTTATTGACTTTTAGATTACAACTATGAGCTCGATTTAATCCAAGCTATTGATAATATACTTTCAAATTATTCGTATTTTATGTCTTCGACAAAGAATTGATGTTCATGTCTTGTAATCTGTAAGTCATGTTATGGATAACCTTTTTAACCACATATGGTCCTTCCTAGATCAGAGCTAGTTTGCATCATTTCTTGAGGCTTCAACCTTTTTAAAAGTACCAGGTTGTTCTTCTTAATATTTTTATGTCAAACATTTTTGTTATAATAGCCAGATATCATCTACTGGTAAACTATTATTCGTGTCAGGGCCATGTTTCTCTATTTTTCAAAATCTAGGTCAACCTTTAATGCCTTTTCATTTTCTTCCTCTGATCTTAGTTCGATTCTCAAGCTCAAGAAACCAATCTTGATAGGTAGCACAGTTCTATTCCAAATGCTAGGTAAAAGAGGGTTTCTTATGTGGAAACCCTGACGGTTGTCTTCATGGCTCATAGTACCTTGGGTAGCTCATTGGCCTATATTTTTCCTTTGCTTCGTTTAATCATTTTTTCAAAGCCTCCAATATTGCCTTATTCGTGACCTCTATTTGCCCATTAGACTGAAAATAGGCAATTGATGTGAATCTTAGTTCGATGTGAAGGTTTGAACACCATTATTTAAATCTTAAATTTTTGAATTGTTTACCATTATCCACTACTATAAACTGAGGTAAGCCAAACTTGCAAATTATGTTCTTTCACACAAATTTCTCAACATGGGCTCGTTATAGTGGCTAAGGCCTTAGCTTCAAGCCACTTTGTGAAGTAGTCTACTACTATTAGGAAAAATCTTCTCTAATCAATGGCAAAGGTGAATGGTCTAAGAACTTTCATTCCTCATTGCATGAAAGACCAATGACTGATAATTAAGATGAGCTCGATGGATGAAAGATGTTGTATATAGGTAAACCTTTGGCATTTGTCACATTTTTTCATCAAGTCGATCATATCTTTTTTTATGGGAGGCTAGTAATAGTCCTACCTAAGTACTTCGTAAGCAAGTGGTCAAGATCTGAGATAGTTCTCATATATTCCTTCATGAATTTTCCTTAGGACATAGTTTGCTTTTTCATCATCCACACATCTTAGATAAGGCGAGTTAAAAGACCCTTTTTATAGTTTTCTATTGATCATCGTGTATTGAAGAGCCTTCCTTATTAATGCTTTTACATAAACCTTATCCTTAAATAGCTCTCTCGCAATTAGGTATATCTTGATCAGGGTTATCCAGGTCTCTTTTTTTTTTTATCTATTCTACAAACCTCTTCTCGGTGTTTTTTGGTATCAGTTCTTCCACTAAAACTTGGCTTGAACCTTCTATCATTATTTCTAAGGCCAGTTTAGATAAGCAGTTTGCCAGTGAATTTTTGAACCTCAATATTCTCTTCACCTTGGCTTTTTGGAAACTGACTATGAAAGCTAGCACTTTATCTAAATATTTTTGAATTTCTTTTTCCTGGGCTCCAAACTCACCATTTACCTGATCGACCACTAATTGAAAAATGCTATACATGGTTATATGCTGAACATTCAGCTCGGTTACTAATCTTAAGTCGATTATTAATGTTTTATATTCTGCTTCATTATTAGTTACCTTGAATCTAAACTTCAGGGCATACTGATATTGTAAGCCTTTTGAGCTTATCAAAATAAGGTTAGCTCTGCCACTATGACTTGTGATCGATCCATCAACAAAAGGTTTCCATTTTTTTCTGTAGCTTTCTTATTCTTATCGGGTTATTTCTTAGGATAAGTCGACATGAGCTCTACAATGAAGTCTGTCAACACTTAAGACTTCAAGGTTGACTTGGAGAGTATATGTAGGTTGAATTCACTAAGTTCTATTACCTACTTAATTAATCTTCCTGGCAGTTCTGGCTTCTACAAGACCTACTTCAATGATTAGTCAGTTAATATGTGAAACCATGTGAGTTTAAAAATATAACCTGAGTTTTTGGCTGACATAACAATAGCATAGGCTAATTTTCTAATCATGCTATAGTTCATCTCTGACCCTGTCAGCACCCAACTCACAAAGTAGATTGGCCTTTACTTTTTTTTTTCATGGACTAAGATTAAGCCGATGGCCTGGTTTGTAATGGCTAGATATAAGTATAAAGTCTTGTCGAGCCTCGATTTAGAAAATATAAGTGAAAAAGATAGGAACTTTTTGAGATAATCAAATATTTTTTGACATTGAGAGGTCT